AAATATTTTTAAAAAAAGCGGGCGGGGACGCTAAACATGTATATTTTTTTAATGGCCTGAATGGCAAATAAAGTTCTTGGTGGTTTTAATTTAGACAGTCTCTATATATCTATTTACACCCCCGCCCCCCTCTAGAATCCCGCGGATTTCCGCGGGTCCTGCTAGTCTATAATAGTAATACGCTAAGGCTCCGCGGGGGGGCATGACGTCTCCGCCGGCCTTTGTATTCTATTGTTTTTTAATGAGATCGCCGACCCAAGTTGGAGACACACGACCGATGACTGTCCACTCACATTAAGTTGCGTATTAAATGCACGACGCACAGGGTCGGGCTTACCCGAGTAAAGCATCTTTCTATAGGATATCCATTGTATAGTAGCTGCACGAGCCACAGAGATACACACGAAGCTTCCCGTCCACGTCCAAACTTAGAGACCTATTTCCATCATTATTGCCGCGATTTTTATATAGGTGTCGTGAATGGAGGTATGAAATGAAAGCTTATTTTGTGATTATTACGGCCATGCTACTAAATTTTGATTATCATTTTCTAAAGGAAAGTTTTCACAAGAAAACCATTGGACTGACAATTCAGTCGCAAGCTGCCTTCAGTCAGTGCAGTGCTGCTGTGCAGTGTGTGTGAGCTGCAATTTAACTCCAGCAAGCTCCAACACCGGCTCCGCGCACCGCAGGCGTCTGAGGCCTGCGGCGCCGGTGTTCGAGCTTTCTGGAGTTACACTGTGTGTGTGTATGTGTGAGTTCAGCTGAGCTGAGCTCGAGTCGAATAGATTTGACACTTTGAAATTGTTATCTGTTGGTTTGCATCATTATTGCCGCGATTTCAATATAGTTTCGTGAATAGATTTACGAAACCTGATCTTAGAATTAGTAAAAGTATTACTAATGTTTACGTTTTTAAACGACTGTCTGATTTTCTTGTGAAAATTTTACTTTGAAAAATGATTATCGAAATTCATGGTCAGAAATAATCACAATCTAGGGTCTATTATGTTACAGTTCTTGCATCAAATCAATGCATGAAAACTTAGTTATTGAACTAGAAAAATGTTTTTTTTTTTTAAATAGGCAATTATGAAGTATAGGAAGCCTGAAACCTGTCCTGAGCCTACTAAACAAATCTCAACAAAGTGTAGGCCTATCCTTTTATGAATTAATGAAAAAGTAGCCCCAGAAAAAAGAGCCCCCGAAAGTTGGAAAAAGTAGTCCCCGAAAATTTCCCAAAAATTTGAAATGGAGCCCCCGAAATGAAAAACTTAATTTTTTGCCTGCGCCCCCCTCTAGAATCCCTCGGATTTCCGCGGGTCCTGAGTTGAGTGTATATATAATATAGGCGTGGGGTCCACGGGTTTCAAGGGGCCATAAAAACCCCAAAAGCTCGGGGGTTACGTTCTCCAAAGTTGGGGGGGGGGGGTGTGGGAGATCGAGATCAGATCGCAGCGAGTTGAGTGTATATATAATATAGGCGTGGGGTCCACGGGTTTCAAGAGTCCATAAACCCCCGAAAGCTCGGGGGGTTTAGGTGTTTAATTAGGGTCAGATGAGCATATTTTTAATACTTTATTTGTGACACTTGCGGGTCACTAATTGGCGTGGGGTCAATACGTAGAGTTGCGTAGTGTTGCGTACAAACTACGCTGGCCTACGTTACTATATGCTGAGGAACGAAAAGGGGTACGCAAGATGAAAGAAAACAATTCAACATGTTTAATTTTTTTTGCGTACTTTCGGCGTAGAAACTTGACGCAGAAAGCAGCCTTTTTACGCAACACTACGCTACATGCCTACGCAACAGTACGCTACCCTACGCCAGATCGACAAAGCAGTAAAAGCTTTCCACACAGTAAGCAACCATAAGCAAACCTGTACGCCAGCCTACGCATAACCTACGCAGGGACTATTTTCCCATTAATACGCAGCCTAATTTCTGCATAGTCGGTACGCCACACTACGGAACTCTACGCAGTTCCAGTGGCTTAAAGAATAATTACCGGTACAGTTGGATCGTTTTTTTAATTTTTATATAAGGCCAAATTAAAAAAAAAAACATTTTTAGCATCCTGTTTTTTCGAAAAATGGGAAGGAGGAGGCCCTTTTTTTTTTTCTTTCAAAATGGCCGCTCCGTACATTTTTCCCTGACATTCGGGCTATTTTTCAAGATGGCGGCCGACAATTTTTTTTTTTCTTATTTAAAATCAGAAATACATTTTAGCAGTGCTTTTCATGTTTTTTTTCTTTCAAAAAATAAAAAATAAATTAAAAAAAAAAATAAAAAAAAAAAAAAAAAAAAAATAGGAGGCGGCCCCCCAAAAAGGAAGCAGGCGGGGACGCTGTTTTTTTTTCTTTCAAAAAAAAAAAATAGGAGGCGGCCCCCAAAAAGGAAGCGGGCGGGGACGCTAAACATGTATATTTTTTTAATGGCCTGAATGGCAAATAAAGTTCTTGGTGGTTTTAATTTAGACAGTCTCTATATATCTATTTACACCCCCCCCCCCCGCCCACCTCTAGAATCCCGCGGATTTCCGCGGGTCCTGCTAGTCACTATAAGTAATACGCTAAGACACCGCGGGGGGGGGGGCATGACAACTCCGCGAGCCTTTGTATTCTATTGTTTTTTAATGAGATCGCCGACCGAAGTTGGTGCGGCTATCTCCTCCTGAACCCTGCCCTCGGGGTACCCGTGCCCGGTGCCGTCGTCCGCGGGAGAGTCTACTCTAGCGAATTGGCTATGCTCCGCCCGAGGTCCTCCTCCGTGTCGACGTCCAGGGCGGAAACAGACGCGACATGCATAATGCAGGATATGCGTGACGACAGAGATACCTCATGCATATTCAACATTACATCCGTATCAAAGAGACACGCGACAGATGACGATCAACTCACATTATGTCGCGTATTAAATGCTTTATACAAAGGGTTGGATTACCGCGAGTAAACCATCTTGCTATGGGATGTGCTTTGTACTAGCTGCACAGGCCAGAGAGATACACGGGGCTAATTCCCGTCGACGTCCAAACTTAGAGACCTATTTCCATCATGATTGCCGCGATTTTTATATAGTTTTCGTGAATGGAGGTATGAAATCAAAGCTTATTTTGTGATTATTACGGCCATGTTTACTGAATTTTGATTATCATTTTCTAAAGGAAAGTTTTCACAAGAAAACCATTGGACTGACAGCTCAGTCGCAACCTAACTTCAGTCAACAAACGTACAGTATACAGTATACACGGTGCTCGGCCGGTGCGGCGCTTTGACTGAGTGAGCTGCGCTAGAATCGAAGAGTATGGGGGGCCAAGCAGGCCAATATTCGTACAACTATACAACTACACATACGTCTATCCATCCATCGAAGAACCCGTCAACACAACAGCGTGCGGGCCGAAGTGCCATAAATTTGTTTCTTATATTTACAGTAAATTACAAGAAAGCATTAAATAAGGTTATGAATTGTACATTTGCATTTTAATAGTTCAATATCAACCAGATTATCTTCATCACCTTGAAGCGGCACTGAACTTGAAGAAGACAGTAGCATGTGACTTCATGCATTGCAGAACAGTCAGTTGCGTAATGAGTAAAATTGTTTGGGGTTTGGGGGGGGGGGGGGGTGCAGAAAATAATCTGCGTCACCATGCACCATTCTTGCATGTTACATGAAGGCTCCAAGAAACGTTTTTCAAAGTGGGGGGGGGGGGGGTCAGTTAGATCGCAGCAGGTTGAGTGTATATAGGCGTGGGGTCCACGGGTTTCAAGGAGCTATAAACTCCCGAAAGCTCAAGGGTTTTAGGCATTTAATTAGGGTCAAATGAGCATATTTTTAATACTTTATTTGTGACACTGGCAGGTCACTAATTGGCGTGGGGTCCATACGAAGATTTGCGTAGTGTTGCGTACGAACTACGCTGGCCTACGTTACTATATGCTGAGGGACGCAAAGAGGTACGCAAGATGGACGCAAACAATTCAACGTGTTTATTTTTTTTCGTGTACTTTCGGCGTAGAAACTTGACACAGAAAGTACGCAACACTACGCTACTGTACGTCATGCCTACGCAACAGTACGCTACCCTACGCCAGATCGACAAAGCAGTAAAAGCTTTCCACACAGTAAGCAACCGTAAGTAACCATAAGCAAACCTGTACGCCAGCCTACGCATAACCTACGCAAGGACTAAAGTGAAGCAACATGTTTCCATTAATACGCAGCCTAATTTATGCGTAGTCGGTACGCAACACTACGCAACTCTACGCAGTTACAGTGTAAAAGAGGCTTTTTTAAAGAATAACTACCGGTAGAGTTTTTTTTTTTGTTTATATGTATGGCAAATAAAGTTCTTGGTGGTTTTAATTTAGAGAGTCTCTATATATCTATTTACACCCCTCGCCCCCCTCTTCTACTCTCTCGCGCTTTAGACACCCTCATCATACACACCTGATTTCCTATAACTAACAAACTAAAGCTCTCATTAAAATGTATCATTACTGTAATTGTCTATAATTCTGAGTATCTCTCTGTGTATGAAATAAACTTGTAAACTCTTTACCAGTACTAACAAAAAGATATTTTCAATGAAAATGGCGTAATGAATGTGTACCTTATTGATTCTACATTGTAATTATATATTTTATCACAATTGTTGTTAATTATTATAACAAAGTTGTCTTAAAGAATTCCGATGAAAAATGTGTTATAACATTTTACGTTAAAGGTGGGTATCCCTTTTGCAGCCAACATCAAATTATGTAGAACTTTGCAGGAATTAAGAATATGTCACGTATGTCCGAGTTGTGAAATTTTAACATAAGCAGTGTCCTAGTATTCAAATTGTCTAGACTTCACTGTCAGGCACTATTGAGCGACTGACTGACTTCCTTTTTTTCTTTGGTAATAACATACGGAAAATGAGCTGTCAAGGGTACATGAGCATTTGTACACATCAATGACCCACTTCTTGTAATGGCCAAAACTAAGCTGATATATAATTTCACATAAACGCAATTACCAGTTCTAATCTTTTCAGGGGAGTTTTTGTTGGTGTAATTTCTTGTTTACCATAGGATTCACACAAGTTACTATTTTCAGCCTGCGAAAGGGATACACCACCTGATTTATCATTTGCTCTAAAAATGAAGAATTCGTATTTATAAACAAACTAGAAATACTACATGCGATGACTATGATTACGAGATACCTCACGGGGTTCAACTCGTGTTGACATGTAGCCCTTTTCGTCGTCATCCTTTAATAATCGCATGTTTCCCTGCTTATGCATATGCCCATTCTCCAGTTATAAATTATCCACAAACACCATTTTACAGATCTGCAGCTGTAACGCTTTAGACGGCCGTACTCCTCCGCGGTCACGGGAAGCGCCCAGAACGTGTTGCGGCCGGAGCAGAGGCCACGGATGACCGGTCCGGTGGTGGCCTGGAAGTAGGCGGTCGGAATCTGGCCGACCAGGCGGTAGTTCTCGTTGTCGAACGCGACACTGGATATGTCGATCACCTGCATGGGCGAAGAAAATTCGGATGGAGGCAATTGATTTATATCGGATGACTTCTAACCTAGGCGCTGATGCATACATTTTATGATAATCATAATACTGAAGATGATGATGATGATGGTGATGATGATTGAATATGATGATGAAGATGATTATTATGATGATAATAATAATCATAATGATAATAATAATCATAATGATAATTATAATCATAATGATGATAATAATGATAATGATAATAACAATCATAATGATGATAATAATGATAATGATAATAATAATCATAATGATAATAATAATGATAATGATAATAATAATCATAATGATAATGATAATCATAATGATAATTATAATCATAATGATAATAATAATGATAATGATAATAATAATCATAATGATAATAATAATAATAATGATAATAATAATCATAATGATAATAATAATCATAATGATAATAATAATCATAATGATAGTAATAATGAAATAATGATAATGATATTGATAATTTTAAGAATAATACTAATAATTATAATAATGATAATGATAATAATAATTATAATAATGATAATGATAATAATAATTATAATAATAATAATTGTAATCATTATACATGTAGCATTAAGGAAGCAGCTTTTTTAAGGTGGTTTCATTAGCCCTACTTAGCCTATTAAATAGGTTAACAATAAACTATATATATATATATATATATCACCTTCTGTGGGAGTATTCGACTTGAGATGAAGCTGGTCTATCCCCCTCACCCCCCCCCCCCCCCCCCCATCCCTTTCCATTCCCGTCTACTTGGAGCCTAGAAAGAAATTCTATTGCACATTTTTTTGCGATATCTTTTTCTTCTCTCTCTCTCTCTTAATTGATCTATTCTTGTTCTTGCTTCCTTGCTTGGTGGTTGTTTAATTGTAACTACAGAGTATTTAATACAGTCCTTCATAATTCAGTCATCATTGACAAAATTCCGGATGTATAAACGCATATTATGAATTTCTTACATTTTGGCCGTCCTCCTCGACGTAGTCGCGCACTTGGTGGGCGAAGTCATCTTTGATCGTGAGGCCGACACAGGTGTTGGAATCGTGTAAATGCATGAACATGACAGACTGTTTACAATTTTGAAGACAAAAAACAGAAGCATAGGAAAAAAATAAGCCATGTTAATCATAACAAGATACAAGTATTGCTATAAGCTATTGAAATCCTTATATATAATTGGCTATAAACATATTTGTCATAGATATGTGGCAGTTGTTATTGATAAACAGTTTCATGAAACGGGCCACAGGTTTAACTTGGTCATCCGTTATAATGAGGAGCCCAATACTAAAGGCCCAGCGTCACAGGAGGCGCCATTAGTGAAATTGATATCAAATTGAACGTAATTTAGTTATCCATCGTATTCATATGACACCAAACCTATGGTGATTTCAGGTTTTACTTGATATCATCCATGAAGCCTACAGAGGCAAATTCCTAAAAAGTTAAAAAGAGGCACCTCTCCACTTTCGATATATGAAAAATAATGTTTTTTTATAAAATTATATTGTTTGAAAAGAATCACCAAAAATCATGGTTCTTACTTAAAATTGCGATATTAATTAATCCCATTTACGTTGAAATTGGTATTAAAATGTCGATGATTTTATTCTCTTTCATATAGCATGAAATTCATTGTGGCTTAAAGGCATTGTTTAACAATGTTAAATCTGAGATGCACGGCACTAAGTGTTATCAGTGTCTGTTTGGTGTAATATTGAAGCCCTAAACTGATTCCGCTTCAAAATGGTCATGAAATGCCTCAAAAAGTAATCAACTTTGAGTGACCGGTTTTATCATACTCGTTTTTCCCAATAGACTGTAGTGTTACGAAAACAATTAGGAAAACGCACAATTTGATTTCGATTTTCAATCATAAATATCTTGATAATCAGACAGGCGATCGGCTTGTAAAATTCATGGGGTTTCTGACTGACCTAAATGTTTATTATTATCATTGCAGCATGAGCTAAATCCAGGATTTTGTTTCAGAATTGAAGACAAAGCTAGCCAATCCCTTCAAGGTCTCCCTAAAATTATTATTAACAAAATACTCTTTTTCGACAAAAAGGTCGCTATTGTGGACGCCCCCTCAGATTTAGGGGTGTTCGTTACAAATCAAAAAATAAAACACCTCTGAAATATTGTGTATTATGATAACATCTCTCGTAAACACAAGTTGTGCTTAGTTTTTGTGGTAGTGGCAGGCAAAACTCTCCGTTTTCTGACTTTGGCCATCAGCTTATGGTACTAATTTAATTTGATCGATCATCATCTTGTTGATACATTTACAATTTAAAGAGGTATCTTTGTATTATCCAATTACATTGTAATTGCAAGTGCTGTGTGTGAATATTTATATACAAATAGTGTGGTGTATTTCTTATTGTATTTCAATCAGGACCATGGTAAAAAAAAAAAGGGTTTGCTGATCATATTTATCCTGAATTTAGATGTTCAAATAACCAAATCAAAATCACCGTACAAGAAATGACTGCAAAATAAACAGTTAGTGCATTCACTGTCTTGAATTACTGTCGTTTTGGTTAGTTTCGTGCACATGATTAATAAGCGCAGCTATAATAGCGCAATAGTAAAATGACGCCTGGAATGCAAAGGGACTTACCCGGTCGAGGTCCACCGCGATGGTGGCAGCGGTGGAGTTCTCGCTGATGTTTGCTGGAGATTCAATGAGCACGGTGTTGGATTGTCTGTCGTAGTCGAAGACTTCCGTCAAATGATCACCATTTTCGGTCGTCAAGTCAGCCACCTTGACCTGATATAAACAAAATAGGAAGAAATCTATTAATTCAAACCTGATTTAAAGGGAAATCCAACCTTGATAGTAAACTTGTCTAGAATAAAGCAGAAAAATCAGAGAAGTATACTGATGACAGTTTGAATGAAATCGGACAAAATTTGTGTAAAGTTGCAATTACAATAAGTCTCGGCTCTTAAAATTGGCTGAATTTATAATGTCTACGTGATGCAGTGGCGTACAACTTTCCCATTCGCTCCAATAGAAAAAAAGGACTAAAATTTCAACTTTTCATTAATGTATGACTCGGGATGGTCTGTTCTTTTTAGAGGATCATGAGTAGTGTCCCGAAGGTAAAGGCACTTCGAAGAAAAACAGAAATAAGCGGTATTTGTGTACGCGACAAACGAGAGAACAATCCGTCACTACGTCACAATCCACTGACAAATTTGCCGATTTGAGATTCTCGCAGCTCTAGTGATTTAATATTTCAAACACTCTTAGTAAACTTTCTTAATATTGGTCCGATTTATTTCAAACTGTCGCAATTCTGTTTCTGTTTCTGCTTTCATTCACTGCACTCCAAGCTCGCTCACGAGCTCACATTGCAGATCTCGGGAAGGTTACAATTGGGCTATTGCCCTCGGCACGCCTCGGGTAATAGCACAATTCTAACCTTCCCTTGAGCGTATAAAAAAAAACTATTTCTCTCAAAGCAGTCATTAATACTAAAATGTAATTCAATTTATTGACACAATTAGGCTTTTGTATTCACATTTTATCACCAGTTCGATTTTCCCCTTGTTAGATCAAATAAAAAGTGAAATATTAAGGATATTTCTTTGTGACAAAAATCACTACTCAAGCTTTCCAATCATATTGGCGGCTTCGAACCTCGGACATCAAAGGTAACACACCAGTATATTCTATTGTGCAACCATAGAAAACGGCAGCTGCTTGGAATAATTTGTTGCCAGTTGGGTCTCCAGCTCTTAAAACTCCTTGGGCAGACTATGACAGTATGGCAGAGAAACTAAGCAAAATTCACTGTAAAGGGGATTATCCTCCAAAACTATGGACAATGCTTGGAATTTCTTAAGAGATAAGGTGCTAGAGGTTTCAGACAGATACACTCCAACAAAAGACATCAGAAAAGGTAAATGTAGTAAACCATGGCTGGACTCAGCTAAATTGGCAAATGACAAAAAGAAGCACCAGCTTTACAGAAGATGGCGACGGACTAAGACAGAAGAGGACCGTAAAATGTACACCCGAGCAAGCAACCAAGTTAAATAGATGTGCAAGAAGACAGTGCGAGGATTGGAGAAAGGTATAGCATCTGGAGTCAAGGAAAATCCCAAAGCCTTCTGGTCATACGTTAAAGCCCAAGTCCACTCCAAAAATAACTTACTTTCAATAGAACCAGAAAAATGAGACAAACCAATCAACAAAAAGTTAGAGCAAAATCGGGTAACTAATAAGAAAGTTATGAATTTTTAATGACATGAACAACTTTGAAAATCACTACACAAATTGGCAACTCACTCATGAGTCTGTGATGTATGGTCCTTACTATCCACTAATTATTTTCTTTTTATTGATAATATAAATTTTCTATTTTCACCCTAAGAATCTTATTTCTTCACACCAGCATCCAAGTTAGATTGTTAGTAATATGTTTTTGTGTGGATGCACAAATAAAAAGTAATTTTTGTCCAGTTAAATCATGAAAAATTGAATTTTGATAAACTATTTATATAAAAATCAATAATTATGAAATACAATATTCAGAAAATTGTATCAATTCTTCAAAATTCATAAAAGTTTTTGGGAAATGTCATGCACGCAATATGATACAAATCATATAACCTGGGCAAAGGCATGTGGAAATCAAGTTTTGGGGGATAAAAAGGGAAATTAATGGGATTAAACTATATAAAGCAATTGATAAGTTGTGAGGACATGACGTCACAAACTGATAACCAAATTGGCGATTTGTGTACTGATTCTCATTGTTCCATAGTTTTACATATTTTTTCAAAAATTCAAAACTTTCTTATTGGTTATCCGATTTTGCTCAAACTTTTTTTTGATTGGTTTGTCCGATTTTTCTGCTTCTATTGAAAGTAAGTTATTTTTGGAGTGGACTTGCCCTTTAAGACTAAAACCACCGCTCGAGAAAGTACCCCCATCCGTAAATTCCTTCAAAAACAAACTCGATAACTATTGGGAAAAAAAAATCACCTTCAGTATACAGTATGACCCTGAAAGTGACCAGAAGAAGAATGCAGAACTGTTCCACCCTCCACATACTCACCTCGACACGAAACCACAACTAACTGAAGTATGAAAAGGAACTCAGTCGACCGATGAACAGGCCCTGCCCTACCAACATCGATGGATTAAAGTAAAGTAAAGTAAAGTGTTAAAAGGGTTGGATTGTCAGGGATCTGTTCTTCAGGGACAGAGGCGCTTATGGAGGAGAGCACATAACCTATTTTAACGAACCATCTCTCTCTCTCTCTTAACTCTAAACCAAGAATTAATTCATACACACACATAATATTGTACAGCATGGTTGCATTCCTTTACCCTCCTATACCCCCTAAATATTATTTTTCTCTCTATCTATCTTTCTTTTCTTTTCTTGTAAACAAAATCGATGCGGACAGGCGCCCCACCTGCGCGCCCCGTAGCTACACAACCGTCACAACAAAACGAACCTTGTTTTCACTCAAGGCCCTAGGTTGGGCCACCTGGTTGCCCCCAGCTGGGCAAGTTGTCACGGGGTACCCACCGCTTCGAAATATGATTGCCGCTGCGATCAACCCAGAGGCCAGCACCACCGCGGTCAAAACGGCTGCTATAGCGCTGGAGCAACCGCTGCTAGTCCCATGGTTAAAGCGTGGTGACCCTGGAAATGGTGGTGGCAGGCACTAGGACAAACAAAATAGGAAAGACGTTCAGATGATTTTGACACATAGAGAGACCTAGTAATAATGATTAGATATGATTTTTTTTTTAAATCTCACAAAGTTTTATCGTGTCGATTCTTCAATTCAATAAAATTCAGTTCAATTAATTGTATTTCTATAACTCAATCAAATCATGGAAAATGCTTTCATCAAAATAAATATCAATTGACATTTGCAATCTAACATTGAAAGGGAAAACTATTGATAATTACTAAATCTTAAATGTCAAAAAGTAATCAAAGTAGTGTAGGATGCAAAAATATATATGCCTACCATAAATTAAGACGGACTTTCAAGGAGAAAAAAGAAATCCACTTTAAAAAAGCAGAGCTTTCATTTGTGTGAACTTCTCAAAGATAAAAGGGGGAAAAGTAGAAGGGACGAAAGAAAAAGAAAAGGAATAGAAGCATGCATTTAATTCTTACAGACTTGTTTTTATGAACACATAATAAATCCCCCACAAAAGAAGTAAAGTATAAATCTCACCTCTGGCATGTTTGATGCGATCTTGGAGTCCATATTGCTAGGATACGAGATATGTCGTAAATATTGAAAGAAATTAAGTTGTTTGATGAACCTTTACTTTTACCCTAAATGTTGATTTCTTCCGAATTTACAAGCTTTTTAAAGCTTTTTTAATGGAAAAGAACACGCCCCCTCTCAAATGACATTATTCCTCCCGCAGTTCATTGGCTAATAGTATCGGACCATATAACCATATAATTGCATCATTTTTCAATTTAAAATCGCTATAGGTTTCGGAGGAAGTGATGAGGGACCAAAGAATGGGATAAATTACTCATGTAACCAGGTGACTGTTCTATAAAGACTAGTCACATACCAACATCCTGTTTCCACATAAAATGCAAATATCTTTTAACACGTAACCCCGCAACATTACTTTGTCCCTTTGTTTCTGAACACCTTGAACTCGTGAACCCGCTTGACTCCTCGCAGTCCGTGTCACGAGTTTAACCATCACACATCTCCTCTTCGCCTCCTGTTTTACAGGTTATTTACCATATTTTGTTTTATACTTATATTTAAGTAAATCGTTATTATCATGTTATATAACTTTGTGCGGTTGTACTGATGTATGACTGGATATGTTCTGATGTTCGCATTTGTAGATATCGTTGTTTTAAGGGAAGAATTTAAGTTAAGAAAGTGTAGCTTTCTTACAACTATTTGTGAAGCGTTATATTATATGGGTGAATGGTACCCCCGAATATATATATTTCACATTCTATTTAGCTTTCTTACTTACAGATATGAGCTTATCAATATTTTGTCGTTTATGAACCACTATTGTGATTCTAGTTAGCATTTGACATATTCTAGTTGGGGAAATATTATTATAATTTTCCATATTCGATTTGATAACGTTTTGAGAGATTTCCATCTAAGAAGGAGATAACCTTCGATTTGACATTGAACCGGCCAGATTTTGCTAGTCTATAACTCCGTACTTTATTATGTCGTTTATTTTGTTTAGGATCTTACAATACCATGTCAAGTGAATAATCATGTTAATATGTGTTTCGATATACCAGGGATTGGTGTGGAATTGGCGTACAACTTTATAATTATTTATCTATGATACATTGGTGTCTGCGTGATTAGACTATGTACGTTCACACGGTGTGTAGGGGGTGAGCGCATCGTTGAGAACAAAGAAAGGATTACAGCTTTTAACTAATAGTACCAGTACAAGTATTACCTTGACAAAGAGGAACTTTGGCTTTTTAGGTTTATTTGTCTCAACTCTGTAATCTGTATAGAGCAGGTACTATAGTAATAGTAGCTGAAGCAAATATGCGTTAGCCGTCACTATTTTATATGTATGAGTGGGTTTTATTATGGTCCAAACGCTCATGTATCTTTACAGTATGAATTAAGTTAGAGAACAACAATTGTTATTCATTTGCCCGATATATGTCTAGTTTACGAAAGCACTATATATTTATCACTCGGTAATCTCCAGTTGTATATTATTAGTCAGACATGTATAAATCTATTTAGTAATGAAAGACAAACAATGGGATTAATTACACATGCACTTTCAATCTGTGTCATCAGACCTTGTCTCCGGATTATTTTGGGTGAAGGTGAATTGTTATTTCAATGGGTTTTATTCTCCCATATATCTATCAAATTGAACTCCTACGAAATACAAGGTGGGTGTTATTTCCTGTTATTTTGAACATTCATGATCTTTCTTTCCTCTTCTGAATGATGAGTTTACCTACATGTAAGATGATCAAGGGATCAGCAAAGTCTACAAAAGTCCCGGAGAACTATGAAAAGGTATATAAATATATATAACGAGAGAGAGAGAGAGAGAGAGATTAAGACAGGGCGGGTGAGAGTGGAGAGAGATAGAGATAGAGAGATAGGGGAGAGATAGAGAGTGGGTCAGAGAGAGAAAGAGAAAGAGAAAGAGAAAGAGAAAGAGAAAGGAAATATTACCTCTGACAAAGTCTACGTAGTCAGAACAAAGTAATAATGGTCGTATTCCTCTAAATTTAATGTTATGATATATTAGTTTAGTTGGCATTAACAAAATAACACAAATCGTAAATACAGAAAGAATAATAGGCCAGGACTTCTAAGAAGCAACTTATGCTTGTACATGATGGACCTATCAACGTAAACACAAGATTGAATTAAAATGGATATAATTGAAATTTACTCAGTATATATACGTACGTTTAGAAGAAGAAAAACCACCAAACAAATGCCGAGCATTAACTATCAGCAGGTATCATCCATGTATTTGCACACATCCACAATCACACACAAACACACAAGAAGAATACAAAACAGGGAGAGTTCAGGATGAGAAGAGAAGAAAGGGAAGAGGTGAGAAAGAGAAGAAAGGGAAGAGGTGAGAAAGAGAAAGAGAAGAAAAGAAAGAGATAGGAATGAGAAAGAGCAGAGAAGGAACAGGCGAGAACGAGAAATTTAAGAAAGAATCTACTCAGTCAAGGATGACATTGTTTCAAAATATGTAACTTCTGAATAGAGTTCTAAAACGAGATGGTGTGGAACTGGAACTGATATATTAAGTTTTACAAGTTCATACACTGGGAGAATTTTAATTTAACAAAATTAATATTAGTGGATGGGGAATACGAAAGTTACTTTTTTATCAGTCGTGTTGCACGTTTTTATAAAATGAATAGTTAATCAATATATATAGATTTTTATATGTTTTTGCCCAATATATCATTACAATAATTGGAGTGTGGTAAAATAATAGCATTATACTGACCATTACTCTCCTGGGTTTTTTTGAGACACCCATGTCCGTGAGCGAGTCAGAATTTGACATTGGTACAAAATGCTTAAAGGGCCACTTTAACTAAAACGGGCTAAAAATGGAGAAAAAAAAACATATAGAATAATTTTTAACGGATATTCCGAACATGACAATCATTTTTCTTGATCATCATTAATTCTGGAATCTAGCTTTAAAAATGACGACTCAGAATGCTCAGAAAAAGCACAGTTTCGGAGCTGTATTGCGCAATAGCATATGACGTCACAGCAGGAGACAACATTGACATCATACTCAACATAACATAGCACTTGAATTGAGATACCCTACTACGGTATAAGTTCTATAACATACCAAAATCAACTAAATCTTCAACAATTATTCAAATAATGGTCATGATTTGAAAGGCGTTATCTTTTTTGTTACCTCTTTCTTGTAAATTTTCGTATAACATTTTTTTGAGTATTTTTTCCTAAAAACGAAGTGCGTGAAGTAATCGACTGTAATCTCAGATCCTCATTAAATTCATGCAAATAAATCACATTATGAATTGATGATGATTATCTCGGAGTAATAAACAGAGTTTTTCGAAGAAAAAAAAATGAGTTTATCATTCCGATAAACAGGGTGTTTCAAAGTGATAAAATTAGTTTACCAAAAAACTCTGCATATCAAATAAAATACTGAGTTAATCGGCGATTAACTGAGTTTTTCGCCGATAAAGTCATGTTATCGCAACAAGTGGGCATTGGGCGAATGAAAAACTATTAGTTTATCAGTTGGTAAACAGGTTTTTTTGGTAAAGAACTCTGTTTTTCGGTGATAAACTAGGTTTCTTGATAAACTAAGTTTATCACTTTGATAAAGTCTGTTTTTTTTTTTTGGGGGGGGGGGGATAAACTTAGTTTTTCAGGTGAAAAACTGAGTTTATCGCGTAAAACCGAGTTAATCACTTAATTTTCAGCGTTCCCTCGAAAAACTAAGTTTTTCACTCAGTCGAGTGTATCGGGCACTGGGCTTGCCATAAGCGTGAGTGTGGTGGAGTTTAAAAGTAAATAGGCCAGATTATGAACTACCGCGTATACTACAAACAACTTCTCCCCCCCCCCTCTCTCTCTCTCTCTCTCTCTCTCTCTCTCAATCTCTCTCTCTCCCCCCCCCCCCTCCCCCTCCCCCTCTCTCTTTCTTGCTCTCCGTGTTTCTCTCACTTCTCTTTTATCCTGTCTTTTGTCTATCTCTCTAACTGGTTTTCTCTTTTAATCCTATTCTCTCTCTCTCTCTCTCTTCTCTCTTGTGTTCTCTGCTCCCTCTTGTCTCCTCTTCTCTCCTCTCCTTTCTCCATCTCTCTCATTCATCTTCTATTTCTCTCTCACTCGTTTTCTCTTTATTCTCACTCTCTCTCTCTCTCTCTCTATCTCTTTTTCTTTCTCTTATCCTGTCTCTATCTCTCTCTCATTTGTCATCTCTTTGACTCTTTTTCTCCCTCCCCCTCTCTCTCTCTTCTCTCCTCTTCTTTCATGTCTCTATCTCTCTCACGTGTTTGCTCTTCTCTTCTCTCCCATCCTGTCTGTACCGCTCTCTCACCTTTACAAGAATCTTTCTCGCTCTTTCTTACCCCCCCCCCCCTCGTTTCCTCAACAATATCATCAGTAGATCTACAACATAAATCAGAAATTCTTAGTATCAAATATAATATGCTTTCTGTGACCATTTAATGACTTCTGAGTCGAAGGTTCGTTAAGAATTCGTCCCTTATTGAATCTACATTAAAATTAGATAGATTATCAGCATTGCTAAACATGTTATCTTAAACAATTAAGATGGAACTTGTTTTATTTAACCATTTTAATTCTAATGAAGGATCATTATTTGTTCTAAAAATGAATAATTCGTAAAAATAAATAAATTGTAATCATCAAATCCTAAAAATACTACATGCGCTAACCATGATTATGAGATCGAGCTTGAGATCATGAGATTTAATCCAAAACATCGCATTATCAGACTATTCACTTCACCCTTATATTACAATATCAACAGGTCAGGCTTTCGTGAGTGTGTGTGCCGAGGTGCGCACGAGCGCAAGCTAGGTTCGTGCATGGACTTACTAGAAGTCCATGGTTCGTGCTAGGTTCGTGCCAAACTCCGTTCATCTGTACAACCATGGACTGTCAACTAGTATTAAGTCCATGGTGCAACGGTAGTCTCGCAGACATCATGTCTCGTAAACTTAATAATTTATATCTAAAATCGGCTTACCATGGCTTAAATGTGTGTAGTCTTCAAGTGCTGCGTGACCATGCTGCCACCCCCTTCCCCTCCACCCCCTTCTGACTTTCGTTTCAACCTTGCTTTCCTATCACCTCGGAACTCTCGACTAATCTCGCACCGATTGTTCCCTACATTATGTTGTTTTCTTTTGTTTCCCCTATGTATTATCATCTACGATCTAATGTTAGCTTTGTCCATTATTACTGAGCTGAATTATTAATTTGTCCTCATTATGTCACTATACGCACCTAAATTATATTGTATACTTCCTGCAACTCTTGGCTCACTCTCATTTCCTATTTTTCTACTCTACCCAGTACCCACCTCCTCTTCCTACCTTTGGTCCTCTTCTATGTATACCCTCTCGCTCTTTCGACATCCTCATCGTACACAACTAATTTCCTATATAAACTACCAATCTAAAGTTCTTAATCTTACGACTGCATGTTACCATCACTGTAATTGCCTATAAAATTATCATTATCTCTCTTTATAAATTAACTTGTAAAACATTTTAAGATAATAAATGCTTAATTTCAATTCAGATTTTCAAATATCTGGGCTACTATACTACTAAATGCCTTCATTAACCTTAAACATTTAGTGCACACCACGCAGGACCTAATATTCGACTTCCCAACCGGCCCTACGGAGCTTATCCATATCGAAGCAACCGATGACCCAACGGCAGCCGCAGAGGTTGTACATGCAGACACAAGCCCTGAAGATACCGCAGTCCACCTCACGCCGTAGACGGTCGTGCTCCTCGCCGGTCACGGGAAGCGCCCAGAACGTGTTGCGGCCAGCGCAGAGGCCGCGGATGACCGGCCCGTTTGTGGCCTGGATGTAGGCGGCCGGAATCTGGCCGACCAGGCGGTAGTTCTCAATGTCGAACGCGACACTTGATATGTCGATCTCCTGGACAAATACAATTCAGATGGAGGAAATCGGTTTACATTGATATGTAAGCGCTAATGCTCACATATCGTATTAGTAATTATATACCTCACTTTAGAAATCTAGCCATCTGATTGGTCGAAATTGGAGTCGTGATTTTAGCCATTCCCGTAAAGAAACGTAAAATGCCTAAACCGGTTAATAGTTCAATAGTGAGATCCCTCAAAATTCCGGTTACCATGAAAAAGTAAATGTTGCTGCGATACCCATTAGTTAACGTAGTAATAATAATTTAGGTGATAAGGGTAATAATGATTTACGATGACTGATGACGAAAGATGATGGTGATGAAAAAGAATAAGATGGAGATGATGATGACGATGATGATGGTTAATGTTAAACTCTATGACACAATATGTGGGGGGCATCCAGCTTAAGGTGGAGCTGGTCCCCCCCCCCCCCTCTCTCTCTTCCCCTTTCCCCATTCCTGTCTCTTTGGAGGCCTAGTAAAAATCTATTACACTTTTTTTTGCAGTATCTTTTTTTTCATTCTACCTCTCCCTCTCTTTTGTGATTTACTTATCAATTTTCTTGCTTCCTTGTTTTTTGGATGTAATATTATAACAACGAAATTATCATTCCTATATGATTCAGCTTCTGTTAGAAAAACATGTCTGGAATTAAGCATATCAAAAAGGATTTCTTACATTTTGGCCGTTCTCCTCGACGTAATCGCGCACTTGGTGGGCGAAGTCGTCTTCGATCGCGAGGCCGATGCAGGTGTTGGAATCGTGGAAACTCATGAACATGACAGACTGGTGAAAGTAATGAAGAAAAAAAACAGGATTATAGGAAAACGATAACTAAAAAAAATATGAGTGAGGGCATCATAACATGGGTGGCTTAAACGCAATCGCGCAGACTTTCGAGGTATCATCTCACTAAGAATCCCCACCAATGCCCCCCCCCCTATTCTATATCCCATACAAATCATTTTCAGATTACGTAATAGGTCGCTGTAGTGGTCCCACCCTTTCAATAGGTGGTGGACAGGGGTAAGCTAAACATTTCTGTATAGGTTAACATTTCGAAAGTCTTTGCAGTCGTGTTGGAGTTATGAGTGAATAAAGGGTTTTTTAAACACAAATGAACCAAATAATTTGTCATTACTTTCCGTACAAGATACAATGGATCATAAAAACGTTGTTGCTATTTTCTACCAAATTTTATTTGTATTCCTCTCCCATCGATATGCATTAAGGAGTAGGGGAACACAGCTGGCCAATTATCAACTCCCTTTGAAAAGTTAAGCCCAATAATATACATGCCAACCCTTGAATAATCCAGAATCTGGCCTATTTAATTTTGATCTCCACCAGTACCAACGCTACCTCTCCCTACTTACTTGATACCAGCCGATGATGGCGTGATCATTAAATTAAGACGTCCGGCGAAAAAAAGGCTGGGCTGGTGAGCATAATTATGAGTTTGTTGATAACGCCATCTCCGACGGTTAGAATCAAGTGTGTAGGGAATTATAAAGAAGCGGGCAGATTCTGGACTTACCCTTGAGAGGTGATTTTTTTTCTGGGGGTTGCCCAGAAAATTTCGAAGAAAAAAAGACTCCGAAAACTCATCGGACTAAGTAAAACTATATATAGGCAATGATTTTATAAAACATTCTATCAATAACAAGAAAGAATAATTGTTATAAGCTTCTGAAATCCTAAAATAGTTTTGGCTATCGACAGATTTGTCGTAGATGACTATGTGGTATAGTTGATAAATAATTTTAGGAGACGGGCCACAGGTTAAACTCGGTCAACCTTTATAGAGGGAGCCAAACACCATCTAAGGAGGCGTCATTTTATTGAGCCAGACATAGGACTTCGTCGGGGTCTAGAGTGGGCTTATAACACGGGTGACGGATATCGTACAAGAAATGGCTACGAAATGAACCGTCAGTGCATACACTGTCTTGAATTACTGGCGTGTGGGTTAATTTTCATTCACTAGATTAATTAGCCAAGCTATAATGGCGCAAGAGCTAAATGACGCATGGAATGCAAAGGGACTTACCCGGTCGAGGTCCACCGCGATGGTGGCAGCGGAGGAGCTCTCGCTGATATTTGCTGGAGATTCAATGAGCACGGTGTTAGATTGTCTGTCGTAGTCGAAAGCTTCCGTCAAATGATCACCCTTGTCGTTCTTCAAGTCAGCAGTCTTGACCTGAAATAAACAATAGAAAGATGAGGCTTGAATACGCTGAATTAAATCCTGATTTTAGGATCTGTCATTTAGGGAGAGGGACGCTTTTAGAGGACAAAATATCCTAATTTAACGATGCATGTCTCTTTCTCTCTCTCTCTCCCTTTCTATCTCTTCTTAACTTTGTACCAAGAATTGAATCGAACAAAATTAATGTGTAATTGTATCGCGTCAATGCATCCATTTCCCCCTCGATCCCCCTCTCTATATAATACTCTCCCTCTCTCTCTCTCTCTCTCTCTATTTCTCTCCCTCTCTATTTCTCTCTTTCTGTTTTTCTTTTCTTTTAGTAGAAAGTCGATGGGAACAGGTGCTACCATCCGCCCGCCCCGTAGCTACGCCAATAGCAACAAAGAACACACTCACCTTGTTTCCACTCAAGGCCATAGGTTGGGCCACCTGGTTGCCCCCAGGTGGGCACATTGCCACGGGGTACCCACCGCTTCGAAATATGATTGCCGCTGCGATCAACCCAGAGGCCAGCACCACCGCGGTCAAAACGGCTGCGACAACGCTGGAGCAACCGCGGCTATTCCCATGGTCAAAGCGTGGTGACCCTGGAAAGGGTGGTGGCAGGTACTAGGAATAAGAAAAAGGGGGAAAGATTTTCAAAAAGTTTTGACATTTTGAGAGACCTAGGCATTATGATTATTAAATATGTATTTGTTGTTTAAACCTCACATAATTTCTCCTGTCGTTTCTTTAATTTAATTCAATTCAATTCAAATAAACATGAACAAAAATGCTTACATAAAGATGAATATCAAATGACATTTGAAAGTTAACATAGAAGATAAAACTTGTTTTTAATTGTAAAATTTTAAAAGTCGAAAAGTAATCACAGTATTATACGATACAAAATATATAAGCATATCATAAAAGGAAATTCACTAAAAAGCAACGATTTCATTTGTGGAATTACTGAAGAAATACAGGTGGAAGAAAGAAAGAAAGAAAAAGAAAAGGTAAAGAAGCATGCGTTTGATTCTTACAAACTTTCGTTCACAGAAAACATGTTCTCTCTTTGTTTTTGTTTTCTTATGAACATATCCATCCCACCCCCCCCCCCCCCTAATATATATATATAAATATATCAATAAATGAATGAAATAAATATAACCAAATAAATTAATTTTTTTTAAATTATGAAGAAAAAATCTCACCTCTGGCATGTTTGATGCGATCTTGGAGTCCATACTGCTGGGATACGAGATATGTCGTAAATATTGAAAGTAAAGTAAGCTGCTGGATAAACCTTCACAAGTTGCCCTTCATGAAGATTTCTTCCGAATTTATACGTTTTTAAATTTATTTTGTCCAATAAAAATTGCCACACTTCCTCCCGAGAGACACTTGTTATCCCCGCTGTTGATTGGCTAATGGTATCGAACCATCTAAATGCATTTATTCATTTAAAGAAAAAAAATGTTTTTGAAGAAGTGATTATTAAAGGTAATATCTTATCAATAACACTGTACTTTCAATCCAGGTCAGTTACCCCTGTCTAAGTTGATCTTCTTACTAAAGCATCGTGTGGACTCAAGTGGCTCTTTAAGGGCTTCTTAATGGATGATGATCGGATCAAGTACGTATTCGTTGTTTTATCTTGTTTTATCCATTGTTATTTGATGAGAATTAGCGGTGAAAGGTTGTGATATATAAACCCCTTTGGAAATTTGGAAACTCAAGTATGATGGTTAACATTTCCCTTTTCATGGCACAATCATCGCTTTTTTAATGTTCATTAGAAAGTGCCTTTTTAAATTGATACACCATTTAAAATGATTTTTTTTCAGTGATGGAATGTGCAGCAGATCAAAATAAGGGGGAGGGGCAATTTTAAAAGTGTACCCGTTTTCAACCTCGGCATGGTAATCAGACAGTGGCGTATCTTGCCTGTCCTGTCACCATGATTTGACATTCATAGATGACAAGTTAATAACAATAGTCCCTCTGATATTTGGGGATTATGTTCTTCTTGGTTTTGTATTAATTCACATAATATACCGTTTGTTTTACGTTTAATAGGCCTAACATTATTTTGTAAATGCTTTTATGTTTCGATGTTTTTTTCAAATTAATACATACTTTAAAATGTGTTTCCCACCTCTTCCTCTCCCCTTGATCATCCTCATCATCATCATCACAATCAGTATCTCCAACATCACCATCATCATCGCCATTGAGATAATAAAATCATCAAGTTTCCTCAACAAACAACTTAATATTCATTGGAATTAAAATCCTTTTAAGCCGTGAAAAGTATTTCTCTGGAGGGGAAAACCGTTGAAAATTTATTTGTTATTGTGGTACGCATTTGATACCCCAAACAAAATATGAATTAAAGCATCCGTCATCTCTAAACTAGGCTTTAACAAAATTCAACATGCATTACATTGCGGTGAGTGTCAATGTGAACAGGAAGAGAGGGGACATTATTACCCCCACTCGAACATGAAGACTCTTAAATCATATAAGGAAGTAAAGTCAACGTACTTTTAAAGCACACCTACTCGAGAATAAAAAGATCTTGAACACAAGACCACGTGGGGATGTCTCAGTCGTCTCTCTCTCTCTCTCTGTCAATCCAATAAAGGTTTATTCGAACAAGTTTCGCAGTACAAAGACTGAAACATACAAAGATTAAAATACATTATAAATGCACATTGCAATTGTGAAGAAAACATATTGAACCAAATGCCAAATTACATAAAATACTTTGCATTTATAAATTATTGATAATGGACATCTGTTAACATGTTAAAAGATTCCATTTCCGCTATCAATGATAAGTACTGCACACTTATAAAGCAAGAGGTAAAAGAGAAAGAAGAAGAAAGAGTAACAGAGAGAGAGAGAGAGAGAGAGAATGAGGGAGAAATACAAAAAGAGATGGAGAAAGAGTACAGTGTGTTAATGTACAAACATTTTATAAAAAAGGTAGTGACTTGATAGCAACATAATAACAATTGAAAAAAAAAGGTCAGAGTATTAAAAAAAATGATAGATGAAGAATATTACAAACTTGATTTTTATAATTATTATTGAGTATTCGTGTGAGATTAGGTAGTGTACTTTTTTTGGAATCTCTTTTTTGAAATTTCGTAAATTTAATTGGTTAGTTTTCTTTTGAGGTAACCGCGATTGACACAACATATTTTCTTCTTCAAATGAAGCATCAAAATCTTTAGTCAGTCTTCTCAACGAGTCAAAAGAGATGGCAATCGTAGTCATGCTATTAAATACATAGTCATAATTATGAACTGTAGTTTGATCCAAAAATATTCTACGTGCTCTTTTTTGTATACGTTCTATATCATAATTCTGTCTGATGGTCAAAATTGCTGTAAAGAAGAGGAACAAAGTACTCCAAAATTAGTCTAACATATCCAATATATAACGTTAACAGATCATTAACATGTAGGTTATAAGTTTTTAATCTACGTATCATGAATACTTTTCTATTTCTCTTCTGTATAATTTCAGTTACATTATTATTCCACTTTGTTTTCCCTCTCTCTCTCTCTCTCTCTCTCCCTCTCTTTCTCTCTCTCTCTCCCTCTCTTTCTCTCTCTCTCTCTCTCTCTCTCTTTCTCTCTCTCCCTCTTTCTCATTCTCATTCCACGCGAAACCACTAATTAGTATCATCATCATTAGTATTATATTTCTTGAAATGATATAAGCGTAGGTACCTCAAAGGGGGCTCCCCTTTGAATTTTGAAACAAAAAGCAGCTTCCTCAAGCACAGATGAAACATAATAGGCTATTAAGATTTAATTGAGAGCTCTTGATATTGTAAGCTTTGGTTTAAGATGTTATTTTCCTCTTTTTAAATATAATTTCTTTTTAAGTACTAATTACCCTGATGGTGCCTCCTCTTTCACTTTCCCTAATTCTTACCCATACCCCATCCCCCCCCCCTCTTCTTCCTCTTTTTCTTATACTCTCTCTCTCTCTCTCTCACACACATACACACACACCCACACTCTATCTAACTCCCCCTTCCTCACTCCTCCCCCCCCCCTCTCTCTCTCTCTCTCTCTCTCTCTATATATATATATATATTTATCTTCCTTCTTTCTCTCCCTCCCCATCCCTCCCCCTCTTCCCCATCACTTTCCCTTTCTCTCATACTCACTCTCTCTATCTCCTTCTTACTCTCTCTCTCTCTCTCTCTCTCTCTGTCTCTCTGAATTTCCAAACTCAAAACCATATTTCTAGATCCAATACCAAAGATTATTTTCTGCTGCGAAAGGAGACAATCCAATCGACATACTTTGCATGCATAGTCTTGGCCGGTAGTGGGGGGGGGGGGGGGGCTAAGCTGTTCACTGTACCGTACTGGGCTGGTCAGAAAATACCCCCCAAAATGGCCAACGATTTATGCTGAAAGCCTGTCGAGAATCCCCACAAATTGATGAAAAATTGTGCGTCGTAGAAAAATAATTGTTCTCCTTCCTTTTATTTTAATGGGAATAGATTTTGGCGTAAATATTCATAATTGAATGGTACACGCCTTAAAATTTAAACCAACAGCTCCCGAAGCTCTGCTCCCTTGCTGTAAAATGCAACGATATCCTGTTCCTTATGTATGTACTTTTCTGAAATCTTATTATTTTCAAACATTAACATTTTATAAGATAGGGAATTTAAAGGAAAATCATAATCAACACCCCCAAAAACGTGACGGATAGATGGAAAACACAAAAGGAATCTGATGATACCCCACCACCACCAATACCGTCCTCTCTAGACATTTTTTTTTTGGGGGGGGGGGGAGAGGGGGCTGTCGGATCACATCTGTCGACGTGCATATACTACATGGACGATTTTCCAACAATGAAAAAAGGACGGAACAAAGGTTCCTAGATTTTCAATTCTACCGACAAAAACGATTTTAAAAAGATCATCAATGTTTGATGACATTGACGAAAACCTGTAGGAATTCATAATGTTCCAACATAAAATTATTGTCATACTTTGTACACTTTCGTAGTTTTGCTAAACCCTGAAGTCCCTTTTTTTCCTGAAAGATTTCTGTGTCGCTTTCCCCGCATCTTACATGCCACATAGGGAAGGGGAAGTTGGTTGTAGGCAATTCCCTGCCCCCCCCCCCCTCCCCTCCCCTCCCCTCGCTAACAACTCTTTCCCGTAAATAACCAGGGATCGGTATCATTATTTTGTTCACTTGGCTTCTTGAATTGACATGAGGGTAGGTATCTATGAGGGGCATCCCCTATCGTCTTTTAAAAAAAGAAAAGCATGTTGACTTCCTCATACTCAAGTGAAATTTAATACAGGTAGGTGATAGTAAGAGTTCTTTGAGAGCTCTTGAAAGTGTAAGCTTTGTTGCGGTGTTATTTTCCTCTTGTCTCTTTAATTGATTTTCTTCTTAAGTGCTATCTAATTATCCTAAAGGATTTCTTTCATTATTGCATGCCTCCTCTTCCTTTATTTTCAAATTGCCCCCCTCTTTAATTCTCTCTCTCTCTCTCTCTCGC